CTTTTTGCTATGCTCATGAGGCTAGGGGCCTAAGGGGTATCGTTTTTCTGTGGTAATGGAGGCGGAGCTTTTTCCGTGGAAGATTCCTTCAATCGGTATTCCTTTTGTCTTCCATCTCGATCCGGATTCAGGATTTAAAAAATGCACTGAGCCCGTTTTAGGGGTCCTCATTATTCTCAATTTGTACGACGTGAATATGATTTGAAATTGAGGGTCGACTGGAGTAAGGTTCGATGATGACGATGGATTCCGAAAAACTCCTATTTTGGCAGCTTTTTTCTTTATATAGATTTTCGCCCACCTTGATTTCCAACTTCTTAGCACCATATCCGAGTACACTTACAATATATTGGGTTGGAGCATAATATCGTAGCGCTTGCATTTTTCATTTCTTCACACAAACATTTGAAGCAAAAAATAAAAACATAAAACTAATCAGTGATGTTCACTTCGTCATTATTTACAACTTTGATTGCATTTCGCAGGAGATCACCGGATATAGAATTTAAAAAAATATTGAGCTCGTTTTCGGAGTCCTTATTATTCTCAATTTGTACGAAATGAATATGGTTTTAATTTGAGCGAAAAAGGTGGGGTTTTTCAGAGCAAGGTTTGATTAGAACAATGGATTTGAAAGAACTTCCAATTTGGCGTTTTTCTTCTTTATTTGAACCGAAGAATAGCAGCTGTCGAAACGCCGATTTTTGCCGTCTGGATTTTCCAACTTCTAAGCTCTATACCTGAGTACAGCTACAATTTTCAAGAAAATGACAACCACGGTTTTGTAGAGTCGGAAAGAGTACTTTCAAACGGTGTGAGCGGTTTTTCGGAGTGATACTTGTACTGATTGAATTTGTACGCCCGAAAAAAAAAACGCTACGATATTATGCTCCAACCCAATACAAGAAAATGACGAACAAGATATTGTAGAGCGGAAGACGTACTTTCAAACGATATACGTGATTTCCTGAGTAATACTTGCAATCTGAAGCTCGAAAAAACGCTTTCATATTATGCTCCAACCCAGTGTTCCGCGTACAATTCTTCGATTCGTCCTGTGTTTCCACCCTTCACAAATATCTCAGTAACTTACACTCTGCGCATGCAGACGCAGAGTGGATGCGCAGAGTGGACGGTCAGAATACTTCAACGAAAGGTGTGCACAAAAAATGAGTTCTACCTGTACCTCAAACAGGAACAATCCACAAAGTTCCCTATCGCGTGGTACGCAAGTGTAAACTTTGCTGACACCTTGTTGAAAAATACAACGATAATCGTGAAAAAAAGGTGATGCAGTCGCTCCCTCACTAGTTTCTTAATCCATGACTTCACGCATCTTTCACCTCTCGCAGTCAGTTATGTTAGAACAAAGTGCTGCACGCAACAAAGAGTTTGTGTAAAAAAACCACGTGCAATGATATCATTGTTCGTCAAGATGCACGTATTTCGCCGTACATTTCTCTCCAACGGAACAATCATCTTGTCATCAGATGATGAATCCTTTTTTCTTTTCCCTACTATCACTATGATGAGGGGAGAGAATCCCTTCCGTCAGCGATTGCAATCACTTCCTTGTGAAGAGTTTATCACTTGTTTCGTTTAGCAACGCTCGGGCGAATACTAGCCATTACGAAACATGTGTTTGAGATTACTAAATACAAGGAATTAATGAATTCAAAACAGTTCTCAATCTGAAACACACTGGGTGATCACTGCGACAAATTAGCAATGGAGTTCGAAATTTGCGGACAGTAACTTGGCAAAAAAGAAGTGTAGAGAGAGCAAATGACTTCGCCAGTCAGCGGACAAGATGATGACCTACATGCCTATTTTTTATGTCAAAGTTATCCGATTAGACTTTCATTCTTAACTTTTGTATCAATGAGAAACATTCGACACAACAGATGTTTCATTTACACGTGACTAAAAGTCAGATATGCTACCAGAAGAGTAGGGTTACTACGGAATTTGAGGACTGTGTATTGGCACCACGACGAGCGTCGTTAATAACACCTTTTATTTCGGCTGACCTTCGGCGTTATCGCCTTCTTCGGAGCCTGGAAGGACAAAAGACATTCAAGAAAAACTACCCGTCCAAACACAATTTTTAACCTATAGAAGTCACTCAACAGGATCGTAAACTACTAAGAGTGACTTCTGTAAGTTGAAACAGTGTTTGGACGGGCAGTTTCTCAAATTCTTTTGTCCTTCCAGGCTCCGAAGAAGGCGATAACGGCTAAGCGTCAGCCGAATAAGGTGTTATTAACAATCTCGGTCTCGACTGAATTATTCTATCATTTCGATTTTCGAGTTTTACCTCTATCTTATTACGATTATCCTGTGATATTTGAACATGTTATTTGTTTTCAGCAAATTTTCTTCCGAAATCCTGTTGTGACAGAGCCATCAATATTAAAATTCTACTGTATTTGATTATAGAAATTACAAATAAACACATTACATGCGGAAACAATACCATAAAAATAAAGAAGAAGAAAAATTCAATAAACGCTTCTGAAGATCTAATCGAAAAAATAACGAAGGAAGATAGGACGGACGACATCCAACTAGGAAATTTCTTATCATTTCCAGGACACCCTATCAAGTACCTTAGATATTACAATGACATGCTTCGAGATATGGAAGACATGAGGTGACAAAATAAAAATACTTGGATACTTTCCAATAAACTATTCGTGGAGCCGGAGAAGAATCACGGACACATTGTCGCCACAACGCCTTCGGACCGCTTCGGCGGCTAGATCGTCAGCCATCTTTTGCCAAACCTCCTTATCCGCCATACCCTAAATTAGTAAGTACTTCGATACAACAATCAGTGAAAACAGTACTTTCAATTAGAGGCGACTACGTTCACAGAAACAAGCATAGAAACAACGAAAGCTTTCATGTTTACTTCATTCCTTTTTCTTCCTACATCCACGAATGTTTTCTTAACCAGAAAAAGAGATGAGATGTGCTTGGGATCAATTCGTAAACACACTGCTTTCTTGTGGTTCTGTGACAAGAGGGTCTTTCAGGGCAAGCCGTGCTTTTTCAAAACGGTTTCTTGCATATTGTAGGGACGCATGTAGGGAACACAAAACCATGTTTCATTTTCGCTGAACGGTTTTAGTACCAAAAAAGAAGCATAAGGTACTGTTAAGGGTTCGATCCCCCGTGGCGACTAAATTTTGCATTTGGGTTGGCGCCTACGGTTTGGTGCCAAATCGCGCTAAATATCAAAATCAGATGTCATATTCATCGTCAGGACCATTTTGAAGCCAACAAGTGGCCGCCAACCTTGATTGCAAAATTTAGTCGCCACGGGGGATCGAACCATCAAGAGTAACATTCACCACTTTTTTGGTACTACTAAAACCGTTCAGCGAAAACGAAACATGGTTTTGTGGTCCATACATGCGTCCCTACAATATGCAGGGAACCGTTTCAAAAAGCGCGGCTTGCCCTAAAAGACCTCCTTGTGTAAGCAACGCTTGGATCTTGGACGATTCACGGGTACAAGAAGGAGCCTAAGAGACGACATGCGTGACTCCCACAAAACTGATATTGTGAATTTTACCCAGAGTTACCTACTTAAACAGAGTTCGTCGGTCCAAATAAAACTGCAGAGGTACCCTTCATTTGCAGCCAGGTTGAGTCGCTTATTAATCGGAGCCAGGCCGTTATATCATCCCTAAGTTTTTGATAGATACCAAATGCCGCTATCATTGTGCGTGGGTACCGTGGAGCATTATCCAAAAGGATTGATTCAAAAAGTCGTGTGAAAGAATTGACACTCCACAGTAGACGAGCTAGATGCGTGAATTCAGGTACCTTTAACCCGATAATGTCCTTGACCCAGCAGTGACTAAGCGTCTACCGAACTTGTAGGTCGCTATAGACCGCTGCGGAGAGTCCTGTACCACTGGAATCTCACACAACAGAACATCTTATATTTCGAGGTTCCATTTTCTAACTAACAAATTTACCATTTTTTTCTTTGCATACGACATGCGTCGCATAGAAAGAAAAAAGAAGACACAAAGACGTATACAGAGAAAAAAAGATGGTCAATTGACAGTTAGAAAATGGAGTCTCGAAGTATAGTAGCACAAAACTGACATACTCACAAAAAATGTATATGTCACCTGCATATGTCAAATTATGGTCAGATTTGATAGCTGTAGTCACTCAGTCAACAATCTACCCTTGCTCTCCCTATTCATACGCAGTTATTACAATGATGGTCACCTAAGTCAAGAATTTAGACCATGTGACCGTCATCACGAGCACGCAAGTGGAGTGACCGGACTAGCGTAGCCTTGAACGCTTTGATGCCTTGACGATCAGAGATGTGACGCCATGACTTGGTAGGACCGACACCGCTCCCTCTTGATCATACTTTTCATTGAAAATTTTGTCACACGCCTGTTCTCAACATTGATCAACCTCACAGTATCAGTCCTTCCCTACGATCATTTTTGCAAACTGTAGCGGCACTCTTAGGTAGTATCAATGATCAGCGAGCTGCATTCGATCGGACTAATTCATTAGCGGAGGAGTCAAGACTTCCGAAGAACAGCATCACTGAGAAATGGAAGGATTCTATGATGAGGTCGAAGAAAGGAAAATTACCTAGTGGAAAGACAGGCGGAGCCCCTGAGGGTGCGGTCCGACACGCGATTCGAGCGAAGGATATGCCCCGGCGCTAGCATGGCCCTCCCGCGGCGCTATCGGCGCGGTACGCCTCTCTCTCGTTGTCCGACCCTCAAGCCGTTCAGTAGAGAGTGCCAGCGTTGAGGGCAGCACTGATGAGTCGCATCAATGCGGAAATCAACGGAGCAAGGAAGGGTCCATTTCTCGGGTTCTAGGCCGTTTCTCATGGTTTTTCCATCCCTGCACCACTGACCACCTCTACCCATGCTAATGAGCTGCCTTTTCATTGTAAAATCCGTCTTCCGCTAGCGCCCGATGATGAAATGTTTGTGATTCGGCTAGCTTTCTTATCCTTCCTTCCAATGGAATCATAAGGCCACAAAAAGAGTAAAAGCAACAAAAGTCAGCCATTGCAATTCTTCCACACAATTTTTCTGTAAGTGGCTCGCAAAGGTAGTACGAAGCAGTTGCTCATCATTATCCTAGAATCAAAAATAGACTGCATCCCAACACCACTCAAAAAAAAAAATTAAGTAAACATTTAGTTTGGAACATGTTTTGCAAAGATAAGTATGAATTTGAGGAGGAATGATAAAATGCTCCCATGATATGAAAGAGAATGATCCAAATAAATCTTAAACTGGAGCATAGCAACTCTACCGCATGTTCGTGCCATCAAAAGTTCGTTCAAGTTTCCACGGAATAAGAAGAACCGTTTGCATCTTGACGAATTCAGCGGTATCAAGCGGAGCTTAGATAGATACATGCGTGACTCTCCGAAACCTGTATGTTGATATTTACTCCAGAGTTACTCTACTTGAAACAGAGTTCGTCGTCCGAATATAATAAACTGCAGAGGTACGCCATTCTAATTTTGCAGCCAGGGTTGAGTCGCGTTATTAATTGGAGCAGGTCTCGTATTTATATCATCCCCTAAGTTTTTGATAGATACCAAATGCCGCTATCATTGTGCGTGGGTACCGTGGAGCATTATCCAAAAGGATTGATTCAAAAAGTCGTGTGAAAGAATTGACACTCGCAAGTTTTACCAAACAGGTATTACGAGCTAGATGGCGTGAAATTCAGGTAACCTTTAGACCGAATTAATGTCCTTGACCCAGCAGTGACTAAGCGTCTACCGAACTTGTAGGTCGCTATAGACCGCTGCGGAGAGTCCTGTACCACTGGAATCTCACACAACAGAACATCTTATATTTCGAGGTTCCATTTTCTAACTAACAAATTTACCATTTTTTTTTCTTTGCATACGACATGCGTCGCATAGAAAGAAAAAAGAAGACACAAAGACGTATACAGAGAAAAAAAGATGGTCAATTGACAGTTAGAAAATGGAGTCTCGAAGTATAGTAGTCGCAAACATAAAACTGCAACGAGTATTACTCAAAAAAATGTCATATGTCACTCTGCTGATGCCAGGAATTATATGGTCAGATTTTGTTAGCTGTAGTCACTCAGTCAACAATCACCCTGCTCTCCCTATTCATCACGCAGTATTTAAATTACCAGTTTTGCTTCGCCCGCTATCGCGCGCATCACACGGCAGGCTTTTGCGAAACTGGAGGACCCATGGAATATCAGCATGAGATACTCCATTAACGATCTCACTATTGACTATGTTAGACCCTCCACAGTTTCACTGAAGCTCATCGAGAATACGCGTGATAACGTCTGGAGCTGAACTGGTATATTGATCGCAACTCTGTAAACATCCAGCATTTTTCTTGAATTAAGATAATTTAGCGGTGAATAGGATTGCTGTCAGTCTCAAAATGAAAATGAAATATGCCTATTTACATAAGTGAGGAGCTAATGCTTATCATTCATTTACATTCACCATTATTTAGAACCCCGAAAGGATTAGCGGTTTAATGAGTTTGGGTTTTCTTGATAGTGCGTCAGAAATGAAGCTTATCATTTGCTGAAGTTTAGATTTATGCAGTCGAATCCTATCAATAAAGCACACAATTTGTAGGAAGGAACGCTCCAGTGTCAACGCTGCGTAACGGAATCGACAACTGCGGCGTTCTGGCGCGCCTTATCGGCCCTTATCAATCGTTATCAGTTTCTGGCACCCACCAACAATGTCCCCGTCCCACCCCACATAACACTTGTAAGTATGGTTGCTCTGGTGTCAACGCGAGCCAGGCAACGGAATCGACGACTTCAGCGTTCTGGCGCGCCTTATCGGCCCTTATCAATCGTTATCAGTTTCTGGCACCCACCAACAATGTCCCCGTCCCACCCCACATAACACTTGTAAGTATGGTTGCTCTGGTGTCAACGCGAGCCAGGCAACGGAATCGACGACTTCAGCGTTCTGGCGCGCCTTATCGGCCCTTATCAATCGTTATCAGTTTCTGGCACCCACCAACAATGTCCCCGTCCCACCCCACATAACACTTGTAAGTATGGTTGCTCTGGTGTCAAGGCGAGCCAGGCAACGGAATCGACGACTTCAGCGTTCTGGCGCGCCTTATCGGCCCTTATCAATCGTTATCAGTTTCTGGCACCCACCAACAATGTCCCCGTCCCACCCCACATAACACTTGTAAGTATGGTTGCTCTGGTGTCAACGCGAGCCAGGCAACGTAATCGACGACTTCAGCGTTCTGGCGCGCCTTATCGGCCCTTATCATCGTTATCAGTTTCTGGCACCCACCAACAATGTCCCCGTCCCACTCCACATAACACTTGTAAGTATGGGTGCTCTGGTGTCAACGCGAGCCAGGCAACGTAATCGACGACTTCAGCGTTCTGGCGCGCCTTATCGGCCCTTATCATCGTTATCAGTTTCTGGCACCCACCAACAATGTCCCCGTCCCACTCCACATAACACTTGTAAGTATGGGTGCTCTGGTGTCAACGCGAGCCAGGCAACGTAATCGACGACTTCAGCGTTCTGGCGCGCCTTATCGGCCCTTATCAA